GAAGGGAGGGAGGGAGGGAGGGAGGGAGGGAGGGAAGGAAGGAAGGAAGGAAGGAAGGAAGGAAGGAAGGAAGGAAGGAAGGAAGGAAGGAAGGAAGGATCTGGAGCCAGAACTGGACTTCTTAGTACAGACACCCTTCTGTGCAAGCCAGAAGTTTGGTCATCATCATCACCAGCGGGGAGTGAGTGGCAATTCCATTTTCTGAATTGAGGAATACAGGAGCGGCTCCAAGTGTATACAGAAAGTTACAACTGGGATGTTATGAATCTGAGCTGCCAATAAAATACAAAAAAGGAAAGCAGTAACACTTTAAGTAAGTTAAAATTTAATAATTTTCTGTGATCTTCATTCAGACTAGGCTTAGCTGCTCTGAGATTTCTTCATTTACCCACTCTCTTAGTTCCTGTCTTGGAGGTCAAATAATATTTAAAATTAGAGTCTTAGAGTGATTCCCAAGTTCCCCTCACCTTAGGGAGATCTCTGCCTAACAAGCTAACTCTCACTCCTCCACGATGTGAATGAGAAAGAGGAAGAAGAAATTGGAAGAGGATTGAGCAAGCAGGGAAATCACAGAGTTTTGAATGTTTAAAATTGTCACTTAAACAGATATGCTTAGCTCACATGGGTTTTTCTTGGACTCCTTACTTCCAAACCAGTCCCTCCTCTACATAAGTTAGAGGTCATCCAGAAGGAAGCTGTGACAGAGATCATTACAGCCAGCATTTTTTTGACTAACAATGGCTACTATAGTACTTAGCACAGCCTACAGTGCTCGGTAAATATCAGTCTAACCTGCACTCCTCTCCTTTTACTATTTCACCAATTCCTTCAGAGTGTGAGTGGGGAAGTAAATACAAATCTGTATTTCTTGGTTTACTTTTTAGGTTCTTGGTAGTTGAAATAGTTGGAAAAAAAATTTAAAGACTGAAAGTTGAAATTCTTGTCATCTTATCCTTCAGCATTGAAAAAGATGATCTTCAATGCAGTTTTTACTTTGCCCAAAATTCTTGCCTGAGCTTTTTAGTTAGTGACAAAAAAAAAAAAAAAACTGTTTTGATTCACCTGCTAATGAGCTGTGAGATAGTCCAAAGAACAAAGAAAAAAATCAAAACCTGTGATATTCATTTTAGATGAAAGAAATTTTTTTTCAAAGAAATGAATTCAGAAAATCGAATATCAAAGTGAAATTAACTCTGCTTGTTGTGAAAACACAACAGTAAGGCCAGGAACAGCATAAACAAATACCAGGAAAGTTATTTTCAGAATTTGTTTACTTAATATTTAACGCTGAAATCAAACACAAGAGGGTCATTAGGAAGATCTTCTGCATTACTCCACTTAAGCAATTAGATTCTGTAAGTAGTATAAAGATAATTACTCATTTGGTCCTCCTACACAGCAATTAGTTCATATGGTAAATATGAAAGTACAGCATTGCATTGCAGGTTGTTTTCTACCAGTCTGTCTGTGTAGACTGTAGCAGAATGGGGGGCAAAAGGCAATTGGAAAGGGCCTTATTAAAATGTGTTACTTAACTTTGTAGATACAGTAGATGTTTAATTTTTTTTAATTGACAGTGAAATTATTTCTTTAGACAATGACTGAAAAACCACCCAAGTCAGTGTGCATAAAAACAAAACTCAGATAGAGACTGCAGATTTTAGTTTGTCTTAATTCATGGTAAAAAATAGTCCTAGTTAAACCAATTATCCTATGGATCAGGTCAAAATTATTCAACTAATGAATGCTTCCCTACTGGAGTGCTATGGCTAATATTTATAGTAGGTTTACCGTAGTGCCCGTGCAAAGGAAATAATTTACCATGAACTGATTAGCTGTTTTTAAAAAAGACTACTTATTCTACTAGTATAGACATGCCAACAAGTTCAATACATCCCACTTCAAAAATAAAGAATCCCTCATCACAAGAGGGTTAAATCAATCCTCAGGTTATGATATGGGATGAAACTCCGCCCGAAAACAGTTTAAAAACCATGTAAACACATTATTATATCCTGAAGCCCGTGTTTATTAATTTTATTTTGTCGCTTTAGTTCTAGTGATTTGCACGCATTTGCATTAAAGAATTATAAGTGAGCTTAAGACATCCGAATCAAAATCTCCCATTTCACAGACTCAGGCAAAGACCCGAAAGCAGGCCGGGCACGGTGGCTAGTGCCAGTAATACCAGCATTTTGGGAAGCTAAGGCGGTAGGATTGATTGAGCAAAGGAGTTCGAGACCAGCCAGGGCACCATAGTGAGATCCCTGTCTTTACAATAAGTTAAAAAAAAAAATGGCGCCTGGAGTCCCTGGAGTCCTAGCTACTAGGGAGGCTGAAGTGGGAGGAACACCAAGACCTGAAAGCAGTTTCAAGGTTAGGCTGAGATGTGTGACAGATTTGAACTTAATCCTGTTCCCTTTAACATCCATGTCTTGTTTTAAGTCGCTAAGAAAGTAGATGGAGAGAGTCAAGTTGTGCATTCTCAATCTCCAATTACGGATTAATCAACAGAATCTTATCTGATTATTAGTACAAATAACATTTTATTTTGTGACCTACCTAAGAGGGTTTGCTTATTCATGCATTCATTTTTTTTAATTAACTTTTTCAGTTTTTCTTCGATTGGGATGACTTTTCCAGAAGGGCAGAAGCAGATAGCACAAACAGTAGAATACATGCGTGGAAAAGTTGGAGGGACAAAGGCGGCGGGGATGGCTGCACTGATGCAGGGAAAAGCACTGGGAAAACGGAGAGGGCTCCTCGGGCCAGCTCTGGGCAACGATGAGCAACTCCAGCCTCGGCAGGGGCGCCGGGCCGCCAGCCCTCCCTCGAGAGTCCGTTCTCCAGAGGACGCGGGGAGCTGGGTCTGCGCGCTCTGCCGCCAGTCACCCCGCGCCCGCGCCGGGCTGCTATTGGACGCGTCGCCGCCAGGCACCCGCCAGAAACACCAGTGTGCTGGGGGGAGGAGGGGGGCGTGCTTGCGAGTCGAGGGCTTTGGCTTTTTTACGGCTCCCCCCTCCCCTCAGCACTCCATGCCGGGTCTCTAGTTCCAGCTCGCCTCGGCTCGCTCGCGCGGCGGGAGAGTTGGCGCAAACCTCGCCGCAGCCGCAGCCTCCTCGCGCGCCTCTTCTTCCCCTGCGCCCTCCGCTCCCGCTATGGGACTAACGTGGGGCTCTTAAGAGTTGCCGGCTCTCAGCTGCGCGCTCTCCAGCTAAAGTCACGGCAGGCGGACTATGGCTTAGGACGCCCGAGGGGTTAGTCTAGAGGTCGGGAAGAAAAAAAGACAGCTAACTGGGGAAAAAAAGAGAAAACGAAAGGAAGGCCAAACGATGAGTTTCCACAAGGAGGACGGAGTGAACGGTCTGTGCCAGAAGGCGCTGCACATCGTCACCGAGCTGTGCTTCGCGGGCCAGGTGGAATGGGAGAAGTGCTTGGGCATCTTCCCTCGGGACAGGGGCAGCCAGGGCGGAGGCAGCACAGGTAACCGGGAGGGCTCCGCTCGCCTCCTCGCGCTCCGCTGGGACCCCGCGCGCTCGGCTGCAAGCTACGGGGTTCTGCGCCTCCCGCGCCGCTCCCGGGGCATATTTGGGGCGCCGCGCTTTCCTACCTCGCTCCCTCCTTCGCTCAGCTCCTGGCGACTTCGAGGGTGGGGCGTTTGGGTTTTGTTTCCTCCTGTCCACCTGCAGGGCTTCTCCCATTCTCTGGTCCGCTTCCCGCCTCCCGGCGCCGTCTCCCGCTCCCAGGCTCGCCGCGCCTCTCGGCGCTCTCCCACGCCTCCCATCTCGCTCCCGGAGTGGAGAGGTGAGTGCGGGCGGTGACTGCGCCGGGAAGGCTCGCGGCTCGGCTGCTTGTGGGGGCGGCTCACCTGTGGGACTGGGGCTGCTCTCGCTCGTTCACCAGCCTCTGGTCCCGGCCTTTTTGATGGGGCCAGGCGGGACGGACAATCTATGCTTGGACGCAGAACTCCCTTGCAGAGGTGGCTGCCTTGGCCTCCGAGGTAACTCGCGGCTGCAACCTTTCGGGTACTTGACAATTTCTAAAGCCCTTTTAATATATATGATTTTCTAGGGTTTCATGACAAAGTTGGTAAAACAGCAGGGATTATTGATCCCATTTGTGAGGCGACACCTAAAGCTCAGAGCACCTATCGAAGAAGTGGAAGAGAGGGGAAACGTTTAAAATCCCTAGCACACGCACGCTCTCATACATCCAACTCACAGACGTCCTCCCTACCCTTCAGGAAACTAGGAAGTGGGCTGGATGGAGGAGGATATCGACCGTCGGAAATCTGGAGATGGAAAAAAGTCTCAAGTGGATTTTCCTCAAGGCTTGGGGGTGGAAAGAATCGAATCCGAGTCACTGTTTGGGTCACCATTGGGGAAAAGGTTGGTGTGTCCAGCCTGCTGTGCTGCTCGGGCGCACGCGAGGTGGATCTCCGAGTTGCGGGCTGCGTGGTTTCGAGAGCCGCTTGGGAGGGTCACTTGTTGCACTAGGAGTCAAAAAACACTGCTTTCGGGATTTTCGGCTGGAAGGTTGCCATTCCTTTTCTAGGTTCTTTCCCTTTGCTTTTCCTGTCATTTTGATCTCCTGGCGGAATTTTAAGCGTTGAAGGTAGTCAGGGCAACAAGAGCTGAACAGCCAGGCTCGGGGTAGAGCAGGACAACATGGAGCCCTGCGTGCTGGGAGGGAGCAAAGCTGGGCACATTTAGTGAATCTCCTCCACCACTACCCCTGCGTCAAAGTCAAGCGGGGAGCGGGAATGGGTTTAGTTTAGCTTTTACGTTCCGTCGTTCACATGAGTAGCTGCAGGATTTGGAATTCTCTGATCCACGGCAACGCGAGCCAAGGGGGCTCTGTCTGCACTTGGCAGAGCTTGAAGAGATGCCGCTGTTTGGACCCTGGAACGGAAAACTTTAAAATTTTGTCAGTGTATAAACACAACTGATAATCATTTCCATTCGTTCAGTAGGTGTTAAATTCCTAGGAGTGTATGAAACTCAGTGGAAGGCACTGGTGGGCATGTTGTATTCTGTGTCGTGTGTATCGTTGCTAAGTATGAGGTAAAGACCAGTATAGTGTGACCTCAGAGTCCTCTGTGGTGATATTAGGTAAGCTTTTCTGAAACGTCTTTAGTGACACACGTGCTAAAGGTAACACTGAGAGAAGAGGCTACGCTGGATGAAATTAGAGTATTTCAGTTTGAAGACTGTGCTTTGGTAATTGAATAGTTGATGCTGTGAATAAAACTACTGATTTTCCTCTTTCCTGCCCTTTTGTGATCACACACCAAATAGGGGTTGCCCGGGTCTCAGATTGGCTAGTAATGAGGAAAATATGTGAAAATTAGAAACCAAATCCCAACTTCTAAATCTGTCCAAAATGCACAACTATATCAGTTTCAGATAAAACACAGTATATGAATTATAGAAATGGTTCTCAGTTTTTCCTAATCACCACAAGAAGTAGTTGTAGTCTGAGTTCCTTTTGAACTTTTCTCCTTGGGAATAAAAAGTGAGAAAATTAGCCTAAAACAATTGCGAGAATATTTTCCTCCCCTTAGGAGGAAAAATAGACTACAAAATATATATTTCTTAGCCACTCAGCGTCACACTGTTCTTCAAAGTAGATTTTCTTATAACGTTGTGCCCTCATGCTCGTTATTATAGGTTCCTAAATAAAGCACTTCCAGTGATCCTTCTACTCATTGTTTAATGAGAAGGGCATTTTTGGTAGGAAGACATCAACAATGTTGAATGGCACAGTGCTTATTTACTTTGAAAGTTAATCAGCACTGCCCAGATGGTATTACTTGTTCTAACATTACAGTAATAATTACAAGCTCCAAAATTGTGTATATTTTTAATTCCTTCACATAGAGATAGAGGGAGAGAAATTCAGGTAATTCCAGTTAAAGTCATTCTACATGAAGGGAGTTACAAATCACATATATAAGTAAGATATTGTCTTACTGGTTTTGTAAATGTCAGTGAAGTGCAAGCATCACCAATCTTTTTACCATATCAGCAGTAGCAGAAGCAGCAGCAATATTGTTGCCATTGAGGATTTCACAATCACAGTATGATCACAATATGACCAATCTCATACTTTAATGAAATTGGTGAAGACTTACACTAAAGTTGCCAACACAGGTACATTTACTCTTTTGGCGTAGTTTATCAGAGTCATTATATGTGCCAGCATTACTAATATTCTAGAAAGTTCACCATGTGCAATTGTTAGAATATCAGATATGTTGAGTCTTTTTACCACAGATTCTCTCCCTCTCCCCAAATAAATATATCACCCACTAAATTCATCTCAATGCACAATATGATTTGATATTAGAATGCTTAGGGAAAATACAAAGCAATATATTGGGCTCAAAAGTTATTTTTCAGGCATACTGTGACTGAATATATATAATCGTTTTTAAACTGGATTTAGCTTAATGTCTGGTTACTCCTTAATTGCTGCTCGAATGCTTATCAATTTCAAGGAACCTATGTTGCTTAAAAGGCACACCTCATAAATCACAGCTAATCAAGCCCACTTAAGCTCATTCACTTGAGCTCACATCACAATTGTATAGATCTAACCTTAATTTAAAGATTTTCATAAGCATTTAATTCATTCATGTTCTAATTTTGCATGTTTACACAATTTTAATTTGGGACTAAAATTTCTAAAATAAAAATTTATACAAATTCTTTTAAATTCATACGTGTGTTCTTCCGCTTCTTAGAGGTAGGGATAATAAGTAGGTATATGGCAAATAATTTTATTAAAGTACTTACCTGATAAGAAAAGGGATAGTTAAGTAAAATTTTAAGAATTGCATCATAATTTCCCTCTAAGATCAAGGCATAGTGGGTCTACGATAAAGGTTTAAAATTAGTAGAGGGACTTCATAGTAGAGGGACAAACCAAATGACTACCCAATTAATTGAGTTATCATTTTTTTAATCACCATAACAGAGTTTTACACATCCTAGTGATTGTATAAAGAATTCCAATTTACAAACATATTATCAGCAGAATATTTTCCTTGAGACTTGTAGGTCTGTAAAAGAATAATAGAGCCACAGTGAATTCAAAATGATAGGCCCATTTGAAGAAGGATATATAAGAGGGTATTTTTCCTTCCTCCACATTGTCACTCCACTGCAGAGTGGCCAGCTTCTGCTATGTCTAGCCTCATTGTCACATGATCATCAATACACCTTGTGCTTGGTCTGATTTACTTCAAACGGAAATGGAGACCTATCTTCAAAACCAAAGAGGTCTCAGCAAACATTTATTCTTCTTAATTCCCAGTATGTTAGCAGTATTGGCAGGAATTTCTTTTGGCTTTAACCTTTTCTTTTTCCTTTGTGACAAATTAAAAGCTGTATTTCCTTTTTCTATGAACTATGAGTCTCTGACATCTAATTCTTATGAGCGATTTTGTATAGCAAGTTCAAATCACATTTAAAAAAACTTAGTCATTACTATAATTTTGGTTTTCTGAAAAAAATTGGTAATTGTTTGAGATGCACCTGCATTCATTTACAAGCTTTTTTAAATACAAAATTCCGGCAGAAAACAATCATTACCATAAATGTTTAATGTAATTTCCAATGTCAATTAAAATCATTTCTGTTTTGAACATATGATTACATTCTTCCCGATCTACGTTTTATTCCACTAACGATGTACACATTAAGTCAATAGCATGTCAGCTCTTTGAGGGCAGGGGCTTGTTAATTATTTTATCCTCCGTGCCTAGAAAAATCTGTGGTTCATACTAGCTACTTTATTTATTTATTTATTTGCTTATTATTTTCATTTTATTTTTTTTTTAAGACGGAGTTTCACTGTTGTTGCCCAGGCTGGAGTGCAATGGTGGGATCTCTGCTCATCACAACCTCCGTCTCCCAGGTTCAAGCGATTCTCCTGCCTCAGCCTCCCGAGTAGCTGGGATTATAGGCATGTGCCACCACACCCAGCTAATTTTGTGTTTTTAGTAGAGACGGGGGTTTTCTCCATACTGGCCAGGCTGGTGTCGAACTCCCAACCTCAGGTGATCTACCCGTCTCGGCGTCCCAAAGTGCTGAGATTACAGGCATGAGCCACCGCACCCGGCCCAATTAATATTTTTTAAATGAATGAATGAATCTTGGGATTTATTATCAAGAAGCTTCAAATTTATTATTTGTAAAATAATGAGTCTGTCTTAATAACCTCCAAATCCCTTCTGCAACTAAATTGTATACATCTGTATTTTTGTGTCACCGGTGTCTAATATGCTATATAGACATACAGAATATTTAGTTTATGATAACAGTAGAAATTAGAGCATTTGAAACATTTAAAAGCTACAATTCAGTGAGCAATATACTCATGAAAAAGCAACTGAACTTGATATAGGTATCCATTGACTGTCTTCAGAGTGTGTTCAGGTGGAGCTATAATTCCATGGCAAATTTGTAAGTGTTGCATAA